CTTTCAGTGCAGTATTAGGTTAAAATAATTATTATTTTGGAGGAGATATTTAGTTGGAAGCATTTCAGAGATTTACTCAGGCTCTGGAGGAAAAGGCAAATCTCTTTATGATATTATTTTTAATGCATAGTGAATCTTCTTGAAGAATCCTCTTTTGCTTTCTCTCACTCTCTATGTCTTTTACACACTTAGGAAAAAGCTTAAAAACAAAACTCTCTCTTGTCTCTCATTCATTCTATGTGTGTTCCCAAAGGTCCCCCAGCATCCATCTGAAATGGCTTCACATTGTACCTCAGCTCTTCTTGATCAGGCCTGATAGCCACCTTGTAGTGCCTTGGGAGAGCCAATTATTAAATTTCCAGGAATTTTAAACATGGTTATTATTAAAAATTAAATCATTTAAGTGTACAATTAATTACATTAAAAACAAAAATAACACTCAAAACTCATTGCCGCCTACATTGTACTATTATCTATGAGGTTACATGTGTGCTAGAAATACCATGTATAATAATAGCACACTCCTGAGCATCGCTTGCCATCAGTGACATCTGACTGGTAGCTGGAAATTGGTCTTGTTTTCAGGATTTAAACTATAAAAGTTGGCAAATGCTGTGAATCAAGGTCTACTCCGTCCTGAAAACCAGTTGTTAAACATTTATCGCTACATTTCTGTCTAAGAGGAAAATGGATAAATACGTCTTGGCTCAGGACACAAAATAGGCTGGAGATAACTGTGGTGGGAGTTAGAATATACATGTGGGGTGGCTTCCTGGACCAGTGACAGGTTCCCACACATAGAAGGAACAGGTGCTAGGTTTAATGCTCTGCTGTTGCCGTCTTAAAATTCTTAATTTTCACACAAGGGGCCATGTGTTTTCATTCTGCACTGGGCTGGTCCAGGTGGTAGGGAGCGTGGACTGTTTGGAGGGTTGCTCATTTACTGCCGTCCATCTCTCAAAACAGGTATTCTGCCTCACTCACCAGTTGGTAGTGCTTGTGCAGCTATTTTCCCCACCCGTTCTCTCAGCCCATGTATTCTTCACTACCAGCTCACAAAATTTCCTTCTATTTTCCCCTCTCTTTGTTCTTCTTTTGTGCTAATTTACAAGACATTAATATCAGTAATTTTAATGAAAATATTTCTGCCCAGATTGCTATGTCCTACAGGCTCACCTTTCAGTTTCGTATCACATGGTGGTTAAGGTGGTTCTGGAATCAGAGCTCTGGGTTCGAATTTTTGCTGTGACCTGATACAAGTTTCTTCCGTTTCTCTACATCTCAGTTTCCTCATTTGAGAAGATAATAATATTTACCTCTGAAGGTTATCATGGACATTAAATTAGCTAATCTATGTAAAATGCCTAATAATGCCTGGCAATGGTAAGTGTTCAATTAATGGCAGTTATTATAAAGATTATTCATATGTGATGAATTATAAACACCTAATAATCAAATCTGCACATGACACATAGTAGCAAGGTCTCAGGAATAAGTGGAACACTGGCAGAGATGGGCTGGAAGATTTCAATTTTTTAAAAAGAATGTTTTCTGAAAAACCTACAGCCAACATCATACTCAACGGGCAAAAACTAAAAGCTTTCCCACTAAGATCGGGAACACGATAAGGATGTCCGCTTTCACCACTTCTTTTCAACATTGTATTGGAAGTCCTAGCCACAGCGGTCAGACAAGAAAAAGAAATAAAAGGCATCCAAATAGGAAAGGAGGAAGTAAAGCTATCATTGTTTGCAGATGACATGATAGTATACATAGAAAACCCTGTAGACTCTACCAAAAAACTCCTCAACCTAATAAGTGAATTTGGCAAAGCAGCAGGATACAAGTCAATATTCAGAAATCAAAGGCATTTTTGTACACCAGCAATGAAATAGAAGAAGAAGAAATCAGAAAAGAAATACAATTTGATATAGCAACAAGAAAAATAAAGTACCTAGGAATAAATTTAACCAAAGAGGTAAAAGACCTGTACGCAGAAAACTATACAATGTTGAAGAAAGAAATTAAGAAAAACACAAATAAATGGAAGCATATACCGTGCTCATGGATTGGAAGAATTAATATACTCAAAATGTCCATACTACCCAAAGCAATTTATAGATTCAATGCAATCCCTATTAAGATACCAATGACGTATTTCACAGAAATAGAACAGACATTTCAAAAATTTATATGGAACCATATACGATCCCGAATAGCCACAGCAATTTTGAGAAAGAAAAACAAAGTAGGAGGAATCACAATATCGGACATCAAACTCTACTACAAAGCCACTATACTCAAAACAATCTGGTACTGGCACAAGAACAGACCCATAGACCAGTGGAACAGAATAGAAAGCCCAGCAATAAGCCCAGGTCTCTATGGGCATCTAATATTTGACAAAGGGGGCAGAAGCATAAAATCGAGCAATCATAGCCTCTTCAACAAATGGTGTTGGGAGAGTTGGACGGCTACATGCAAAAAATTGAAATTGGATCATCAGCTGACACCATACACAAAAATAAACTCAAGATGGATAAAAGACTTCAATATAAGTTGCAACACCATCAAAGTCCTAGAGGAGAACATTGGCAGGAAACTCTCAGATATCCCATGCAGCAATTCTTTCATTGATATGTCTCCTAAAGCAAGGGACATAAAGGAAAGAGTAAACAAGTGGGACCTCATTAAAATAAGAAGCTTCTGCATGGCTAAAGAAAACATCCGCAAAAATGAAAAGGGAGCCAACCGTATGGGAAAATATATTTGCTAATGATACATCAGATAGAGGTTTGAGCGCCAAGATATATAAACAACTCACTTGACTCCACTCCAAGAAGACAAACGATCCAATCAAAAAATGGGCAAAGGACCTGGGCAGATGCTTTTCCAAGGAAGAGATACAGAGGGTCCAGAGACATCTGAAAGGACGCTCGCCATCACTAGCCATCAGAGAAATGCAGATCAAAATCACCATGAGGTACCACCTCACACTGGTCAGAATGGCCATCATAAATAGATCAACAAACAACAGGTGCTGGCGAGGCTGTGGAGAAAAGGGAACACTAGTACACTGTTGGTGGGAATGCAGACTGGTGCAGCCATTCCTTTTGTGGAAAGCAGTGTGGAATTTCCTCAAAAAGTTGAAAATGGAACTGCCTTTTGATCCAGCGATTCCCGTGCTGGGACTATACCCTAAGAATCCCAAAACGCCAATTCATAAGAACCTATGCACCCCAATGTTCATAGCAGCACAATTTACAATAGCCACGTGTTGGAAGCAACCTAAATGCCCATCAGTAGATGATTGGATAAAAAAATTATGGTACATTTACACAATGGAATACTACGCAGAAGAAAGGAAGAAAAGAACTACTACACTTCGCAACAGCATGGATGGAACTAGAGAGCATTATGCTAAGCGAAATAAGCCAGGGGGCGAAAGACAAATACCATATGATCTCACCTCTAAGTGGAACCTAACCAACAATACAAAGATGCAAGGAAAATAAGACCAGCAACACTGAAAGGAAAAGAAACCAACAGAGACAAGAGGGAAGGAGGGAGGGGGGTGGGGAAAAGGAAGGGAAGGGGAAAGTCAAGGAACATATAGCAAGGACTCATGGACAGAACCAAAGGGGAAGAGCTGAGGGAGGGAAAGAGGGAGAGAGGGAGCAAGGGAAAGTGGTGGGGAGAAGGCAGAGACAAATGTATTTGAAAAATAAATAAATTAATTAAAAAAAATAGAATGTTTCTGATCCCATGATGTTTGTCCCAGAGTAGGCTGAACAAAGCTCCTCCCTCCTATCTTTCCTATACACTGATCTAATCTACACAGAGTGCATGGACGTGGGCTTTTGGGCACAGGCAGCTCTGTAGCCATGCAGCCTTCTCGTGTCTGTTGAAAAGCCTTTTCTCTGCGAAAAGCTAGGCTTGTGGTAGGCACGCATATTACTGCCCGTTATTCTCTTCACTGCTGTTTTCCCAACTCCTACCTAGCACAGTGCCTGGCACAGTAGGCGTCCATGTATAGGATGCCACCAGGCTTCCCTTCAGTCCCCCCGAATCTCTCCACTGCTTTCAGGCCTCTGCCCGGGGCTGGAGCAAAGCTCAGGGCCCCAGGCGAACGCCAGGCCCAGTTCAGGAACCCTGCTCCCCAGCGATTGCAGTTGCTATGGGAACGGCGGGAACTAACAACTCGGGTCCCAGCTGGGTAAGCGGGGCCTTTGGAGGCGACGGCAGCGGCAGGAGCAGCGTGAGCGACGCCCGGCGCCTCGGAGGTCACCGCAGAGCTGCGAAACTCCGGCCCCAGCCGGCGCTCTTCCCCCACAGGCCCCACTGCGTCGGTAGGGATCCCCCACAGCCCTGCCGCTGCTCGCGTGCGCCCGCCGCCCGCCCTGCTCCGAAGATGCCGATGGAAGCTTCGTCGTGGGGCGCCGGCTTCGGGGAGGGGTGGCGGGTCCTGGACGCTCTCGTCCCCTCTGTCAGTGCAACTTCCGCATTCATTTTTCCGCAAAGAATGATCTGGTCAATTCCAGCGGTAATCTTAATTGCTTTAATTTGAGAGCAAGCAGGAGATTGAGAGGTGAGGGAGTAAGGAGAACATAGATAATTAAGCTGTTTGCAAAGAATAACGCGAACACGATGTGAGAAATTGACTTTCAACTTCTTTACAACGTGAGTCCCCACCTCTCCCTCCTGCGCCCACGCGGCTGCTGTCCCAGGTGGTCGCACCTGGGCTCTGCCGGGCGCGTGAGAGCAGGTGCGGCGCTCACGGCGGACGCTGATTGGCTGTGGGGCCCGTGAAGTACTAGACGGTGCTCCCTGAGCGCTACCGCCCGTGGGGTCTCCGCGGGGCGCACCCTGGCCGCTTGGCCGTTGCTCGCTTTGACCCTGGTTTGTCTGTGTCCTGTCCTTTCAGCCCGTGACCCGGAGTGCGCTGCCAGGCCGGGGGCAGCGGGACCCCCTGGGCGCCAGCCGGCGGCGTCGGCGAGAGGATGAGCGGCACCCGCGCCCGGGCCAGCCACCGCGCCCAGCCGGTGGTCAAGAGCGTGCTGGTGTACCGCAACGGGGACCCTTTCTTCGCGGGGCGCCGCGTCGTCATTCACGAGAAGAAGGTGTCCAGCTTTGACATCTTTCTGAAAGAGGTGACGGGCGGCGTGCAGGCGCCCTTTGGGGCCGTCAGGAATCTCTACACCCCGCGGACCGGGCATCGCATCCGTAAGCTAGACCAGATCCAGAGCGGGGGCAACTACGTGGCTGGGGGCCCGGAAGCCTTCAAGAAACTCAAGTGAGTCCGTCTGTCCCGCCGCCCACCATTTCTGGGTGCTTGAAGGTGTGCGGATGGCGCCAGGAAAGGATTGCCACCCCCTTTTTCATCCAAACTGCAGCAGGTCCAGGGGCAGTGACCGCTCGGGTTGGTGGCGCTCAAAGATCCTGCTGCAGTTGGGGTTAGAGGTTGCAGGCGTGATGGAGAAGGAACTTCACTTGGATCACAGGAGGAACAATCTTAAAGCTCCTGTGTAAGGAACAGGAATCGTTTTTTTTTTTTTAAGTGGCCAAACTGATACTTTAGCGTTTTGTTGTTTTTTGTCTCCCCCCGCCCCCCTTTTTTGCTTGGAACCTGTCTTTTTAGTTAGAATTATTTGTAAGTATTGAATACTATATAATCACCAGAGGAGAAAATTTTTCTCTGCACCCCCCGCCCCCCGTTTAAATTCCTTCAACCTTTCATTCCAGGTAGAACTGACCACGCCCCACTGTGCCCATCCTCCCACCACCTGCTTGTTTATGCTCTTGGCATAATGCTTGGAAAAGTTGATTGGCTTATTGTATTTGTGCACGTGTCTTTCTCTAAGTAACTGATGGCTAGACCCTCCAGGACAGATGTCATTATTGCTGCTCATCCCCAGTTGCTGTCAAGGAGTTCGCTCAGTGAGTTACAGAATTTTGTTTAGGTCTGTGAAGGGTACTAAGATGAACAAGACAAGAGTCCTTGTCGTTCTTTAGGAGTTTACAATCTAACAGGAGAAACTACATGCACACCAATAATTTTAATGTAGAGCACAACGGAATAAGTACAATTAGAAAAACGAAGTTATGTGGGAGTTCAGAGTTGGGAGAAGTTATTTCTGGTGTGGGTGGGTATTGAATGACAGGTAAAATGTAATATTCCTTAGGTTATTTTCTTTTTTACAACTTTATGGAGATACAGTTCATGTAACATAAACCTCATCCATTTCAGTGGGTCTTAGCATATTTACAGAGTTGTGCATCTGTCACGACAAACTAATGTAACATTTCCATCACTGCAAAAAGAAACCTGGTGCCTCCTTACTTCGCCTTCTCCCCATCCTCTGGTAACAATAATCTACTTGTGTCTCTGTGAATTTGTCTCTTCTGGATGTTTCATATAAATGGATCCATATAATTTGTGGCCTTTTGTGTTTCTGGATTCTTTCACCTCACATAATGTTTCCAGGGCTCATCCATGTTGTAGGATGTATCAGTACTTCATTTTTTTAAAAAAAATCATTAAATAGTATTCCAGGGTATGGATATGCCACATTTTATATATCTATTAATCAGTTGATAGATATTTGGATTGTTTCACTTTTGGCTCTTATAAATATTGCTGCTTTGAACAATCATGAATAAATGATGCTGCTAAGTTTTCATTTATTTCAGGTATATACCTAACAGGGGAATGGCTGGATCGTATGGAAACTCTATATTCCATAGTTTTTAATATAACATTTGAATTAAAATTCAGCTTGGGCTTCAAGATAGCAAAAAAAAAAAATCTTTACCATAAACTCTGGGCTTGTGAATTCTGATTTTAACTGTATAGAAATGATACCCTGAGTTATCATTAAAGTTGTCTAATGTCATCCTTCCTTTCCTAAGTTTGTTTAAATTGAGTTCTAGGTATTCTACTTTTGTTAAGCCAGACATTCTTTTTAGGGAAGGTGAGGGATACATTTGGATTTAGTTTTCCCTTCCCTGAAACCTCCTTTGGTATTATTTATCTAACTTCTTAGAAAAGAGCTAAATGAAAAGTGTGCTTCAAAGAAACTTAAAACTTATAACTGAAAATCTGGAGACTTGAGACTGAGCAGTTTGTTAGCTCCTTGGGCAAGTCTCTTGACTCAGATCGTCAATATCCTAATACAGAAAAGGAACATAATTACTTCTGCTTCACAGGGTTGTGATAAAAATAAATGATATGGATAGGAACGTGTTTTGTAAACACCATAATGTTACATAAATGTAAAGGAACTATGTCCAGTTCCTTTTATCATATACTTCATTTTCATTAAATAATTTTCATATAAAACAATGTTGTGGGAATGGAAATCTGCTTCAGAATCTACTAACAGCTCAACACTGTAGACTCATTTTAGTAATTCATATTCTCTTTTGTTTATTTGATACTACCAGCTCAAAAGGTTAAAAACAGGTACAGTTCCAAAACAAATAGAAGGTGCACTTCAAAATCACTTTTTACATATAAGAGATTTGCATGGTTATTTTTGCTTTTCTTACATAAGTGTGCACGCACACACACACACACAGACACACAAACTGAGCTTGTTATAACAGTGTCCATGGTTTGTTCTCCATGCTGACAGATGAATGGTTTATTTGTGTTAAAGTAGTAATATCTATGGTTATACTGATGGGAGCCAAGAAGATTTAAATGCTTAATATATTTGAAGCTTAGTAGTTGTAAGTTTACATAACAAATGAATCACCTGGCAGAAAAAAAAAGTAAAAAAGATATCAAGGGCAATTCATGCCATTTAGAGCCTAAATGATACTGGGGAAGAGAACAGAGGCGGAAAAATATTTTTAAATGAAAACGATCAACTTGTTTCTTCAATTTCTTTTACTCAGATATTTTTCTAATATTTTTATAACTATATGAAACTTCAGGTAGCTATTTAACCTTTGTTTAATAGCAGAGAATTCTAGGGATTTGTTATTTTTCCTGTGCATTTTTGGAATTTGACTCTGCTAGGTTAATCTTGTGGATCTGAGATCACTTTCCTGCACATGAGAGAATTCTTTTTTTTAAAATGTCAGAAACTGGTCTCTTCAGATGTGCAAATGAGCCATTTATTGCTAAACAGAGGAGTATTTGCACTGTCTTATGTAAATACTGTTATCTGAGAGAAATATATGATAATTTCCAGAGGTAAGGATTAACTAAAGTGTTCTGTCCAAAAAAGCAAACAACAATAATGAAACATAGCTAAAATTAATTCTAATATAGCCTTTTTTTGGCAACTCAGCAATTATGATAGTTGAGGTAGAGAATCTACTTATCTATCTTTCTATCTAAGGTTATAAATTAAATGCTAGGTTTTTACTTATTTTTATATTAAAGCATTTATTTAGCACCTTCTATGCATGAAGCACAGTGAAACCAGATCACAGTGATGGGCTTATAACCTGAAGTCGACACAGGTATAAAATTTTCAGATTGTGCTTATGCTATAGCTAAAGAATGATCACTAGTTAATATCTGCAGCAAATTGTAATAGAATAATAGGGGTCTCCAAAGGTTAACTAGTCCACCCATCTGTCTGTCAGTTGAGCAAATTACTAAACTATCCCACATGGCTGAGTATCTCTGTATCATTAAAGTGCTCTTATAGGGAAAAAGATATCCCAGCCTTTTACAGTTGTTATTCTAATGCATGCTCTCTGTACATTTTTAAAACCTAAAGTCTGTGATTAATGGATCTGTGGTTAATGGATTAATATATAAAATGTGTGATATTATTTAATATTAATATTTAATATTAATATTAGTATTCAATATTAATATATTAAAGTGTGTGATTAATGGATATATATCTCCCCCATATATGTATGGTAAATAACTAGCCATTTTGAGGGAAAATGTTCTCCAATAGAAGTGTGTGGTTCTAAGACTTCAGTTACATTGAAGTTTAGAGTAGACATGTGTCAGCTCTGGTTGGTGATGCTGAAAGCATTTTCTACTATGATTGCTTTTAATTAGTAGCAATTGATTTTTGCTTTAGGCTTAAGTATTTCCTGTGGCTTATTTAAGTGTTTCCTATGGTAATAATTTTTAAAAACAAACTTATACAACTGACTCAAATGCAATAAAAGAAACCCCCCTTTTTTTCCTCCACAGTTACTTGGACATAGGAGAAATCAAGAAAAAACCTATGGAAGCTGTTAATACGGAGGTAAAACAAATAATATTTTGAAGGTTGAGTAAATAACAGTGCCATGTTTTGTGTTTTTTATGCTGTGTTTAGAGATTTAGATGGCATTCTCATCATAACAGATGAGTTGACTAATGTTTATAAATGGGGCAATATATGTCTTCAAGCAACAACACTGTAAATGAAGAGACTGAGTAGGTATCCTAAACATGTAGGTTAGGCACAGTATGTTATTATTTTTCTGTTCTCTAGGTACATGTTCTTTGGTTGAAATCCACAGAAATTTTCCCTGCTAAGTGGGAAGAGACCCTGAGCATCTTACACAAATCTTTACCAAAACTACACACTTGTCCTCAGGTGCTTCTGAGAGTCCTGTGTCTGAAGTAGCCACGGGCACCCTGACTGCCCAAGGCTTCCGAAGGACCCTGTTGGACTTCTCATGATGTTGGGAAAACACCTCCATGTTAACTTGCATTAAAGTTCACTTATGCGTAATCACCAAAACTTGCATGAAGATTGGAAATGAGTTTCATGAAAGAGAGAACAGGAGTATTCAGAACACCACTTTCTATATATATCATCTGAATTCCTAGTGGAATTTTCAGATATTCTGTAGGAGGTGTTCTTTAGTTTGTGGATGAAAAAGAAATTAAAACAAAGTTAAAGCAACAGCCTTAAATGCTGCAGTGAGACAGAGAAAATTGTAGTTAAACCCAGGCTGAGACTTCGTTCACTAGTCCAATCTTCCCTTTTTCCTATTTTGACCCTGCATGAACAAGTGCTTCCAAACGGTGTGCTCTGCCAGGGAAGAAATGGCTGATAGAAGGAGATTTTTCTCATTTGTAGTGAAGAACCCCAGGGAGACTCCTCAACTCTTGCCATTCCTCTTGCACTGTGTTTATACTCAACAGGACCAAATAAGTCTCTCTAGAAAAAAAACAAACTATGTAAGCAGAAATTCTAATAGTGCAGTATCTGAAGAATGTGAGGTTAATTTCATTATTCAAATAATTTGTAGAAAGAGGTGCTAATTCCAGACATTGTTTAAAATAATTAACATTCTCATGTTAGGATTTCAATGTATGTAAAACTGCTTATTAGTAAAAGTGATGAGCTTCTGAGCTTAAAGTAGACAAAGGTAAATGTTTTTTTATGTTGTGTTTATGTTACAGCTAAAGAATGAGTACTTGTTAATATCTGTATCAAGTAGTGAAGAAAAGGACAGATTAGTGAATTAGTTCTGGATATAATTTTGTTTGAAGGATACACACTGTTTGAAGTAGGTTACCTTGCATGAAATTGGTGACTGAACCCGAATTTCTGCAATAGGATTTGAGATATGTGACTTCTCCAAAAATGTGAGCAGGTATTTATTCTGGATTACAGTATCTTTGATGAAGAAACTGTGCCTGGCAAAGTGCAACAGGGGTGCAATAAATTTTTCAAATATACTTTTTTAGAAAAGATTATGTTTAACAATGGAAGCACTCACAAAGACGCTGTTTAATTTTCTAAGTGTTTTTCCATTTTGGGATAGTAAATATTGTTTTCTCTTTACTTTGGGCCTATGCATGAGCCACACAGACAAGCTCCTGATTTATGAATATAAACCTTATGGTGAAAAACCCACCCTTTATCTCCAGCTAGAAGGCTGTATCTCTTCCCCTTTATTTCTTCTGGTAATTCCCTCCCCCTCTCCTTTCCTCTTACTGAACAGACACTGCTGTAGCCTTCCATTTCTTCTCAGCCCTTCCCCGTAAAACCTTCCAAAGGAGAATAAAAGGAAGAAGTAGAAGAAATTTGGGAATGTAAAGGAAATGGGAGGAGGGGGTGATAAACTGGCGGCCCCTGTGCTTTAGCACCCCTTCCCCTCTGTGATCCCCACGCCCCCACCTGCTTCCCGGAGCCCTCCACCCTGCTGCTGTCTCCCCAAACTTTCTCCCCAGGCTACACAGGCAGTGTGTTCACTCCCCTCACTTTGCCTTCGCAGTCTGGGTGTTCAGCACAGAGACTCTCCTCCCCAAGTCCACACCGTGGACACACTCAAAGCCTGCTTGAACGACGAGAACCTCGGTTTTCGTTGCCAGAAAGGGAGTGTTTGCGTCCCAAAGGGAACTCTGAATGCATTTCCTCATAGAGATATCACTTTAACTCTTGGTTCCACAGTATTATTACTGTTGTTTTAGGTAGAGCACAAAATAAAAAGGCTTTTGTGGGCTTCTCTGAGAACCTAACTATTGTGTGTGTAATTCTCACTGTGGAGAAATACCTCTTCCTTTTCCACAATTTTTTACAAACCAAATTTTAGAACTCAGTAAGTTTTTTAGTTAGAGGAATATCTACTGTATTTTGCCATGTATAATGCACACCCATGTTTTAGAACTAATTCCATTGTGTAATGTAAATCAGTACTTTGCATGGAATTAATACTGTACATGGGGATTAGTACTACCCATCCTATTTTTCCCTCAAAAATTTGGGCAAAAATTGTGCATTATACATGGCAAAATACTGTATGTTAAAAATTTCAAAACATGCTTGGTCAACACTGGACTTCCACAAAAATTATAGATTCTATTTTTTGAAAAATTAAGATGGTAATTTTCTTTCAACATTTGTGTCTACTGAGAAAAGATTGCATACTTCATTGAATACTGTGGATGGCCACTATTATTTGGAGTAAGTAACATGTTTTCCTCCCTATCACAGGGAAGGATTCACAGAAGTACTTTTGAAGGGTTTAGAGTTGCTTCAGTGCAACAGTAGCCAAAATAATGTTTATTCAAAGGTGTTTCAGTATAAAGTGTGAGAAAAATTAATTATCAAAATTGGAGGCATTTCTCTCAAATCTGTGGTAGTTTCATACTGTTAGAATTTTCAGTGCCAGGGATGTGAAGTAAAAACCACCATGCCAGTGGACATGATTCAGTTATCCTAACTGCTTACAGCATATTAATTTTAATTATTCCTAGAACATGTTACTGTAGAAAGGCCTTGACAGTTGATTGGGGTTCCATAGAACATGCGGCATTGGGTCCCAGCCACTGTGGCTAAGTTTTCAGATGTGACAGGTAATGCAGCCAGTAAAGACTGGGAGTTAACAGCATTCCTTCCCTCCTTCAGAGCACCCTCACCCAAGTGCATACTGCATTCTGGTTGCTGTTCAGATAGTTAATAATTTAGACATGATGGTATTCCACTTGCTGACTGTAGGTCACGGTAACTAGAATGTGCATGTCACCGTGACATGTGAAGATCTTTTTGTGGTTCCTGTCATTGCTTGTCTGTTCCATGAAGCTCATCTTTGAAGAGACACTAAATAGACAACCCAGTCCTCTTCCTCTTCCTCCTTGTGAGTGGATCATTAGGACAGAAAAAGACAGGACTCTAATGGGCTTCTTCTGCTAACCCAGAAGAAGCACATGGTCTTATTTGGCCAGCACTTCTGGCAGCAGCAGGAAAGGGAAGGGTGGATAAAAAGAGGGAGAAGAAAAAGAAGGCAGGAATAAGAAAAATGAAAGATGATTCTGTGTGGTTCGCTCCAGCTCCAAATGCAGACAGCACTGTATGCTCAGAGCAGCCTTCCCTTGCCTCTCCCCACACAGGGCTTGCTGCTGCTGATATTCAGATGGAGAGATTTCCGAGAGACCTCCGAACTCTCGCCTCTGCTCCTCAGTCACTTTGTATAGCTGGATTTTCATCTTACTGCTTCCCCTGCATCACTGGTGGTTTTAAAGGAAATGGTTTTCTCAGCTGACTTTGGTAGCTCATCCCCTCTGTACGTCTTCCCAGTCCTCTCTTTGCCTCCTTACCCTTTTCTCAGCCCAATTTCAGATCTTATTCTCTGCTTCTGTGCTCCAAGTTACTCTCAGCTTCCCTCTTGCCTCTCCAGCAGAAGCAGTTTCAGGAGGCCTCTGTCCTCATGGAAGCCTCTGATCTGAATATGGGGCACCTCCCTCACCAGCCTGGGCTGTGCTCTTACCTTTTTGTTTGAGCGTGATTTTTGCCTTCTTTCTTCTTTTTTTTCTACTTTATCTGCTTTGCTCCTATGTGACTGAGGCCTGCCGGTACTGCTTAGCACAATAGGCAGAGCAGTAGGAGCAAAAATGAACAAGACATGCATAACATCTCACCTCCAGGAATGTGTATAATCTTGATAAAAAGAGATGCATGAACATCTCTGGTACCACATAATAAGTGACTCAGTTGAGGAGGGCTTCAATTCAGTTTGCATTGAGCTTTTACTTGAAGTGTTTTGACTTTATCACGTTGCAACAAAGCCATTTGTGAACTCTTGAAATGGAAGCTTCCTTCTTTTTAAAATTATTATTATTATTATTATTATTTAATCCTTACCCAAGGGTATGTACATTGATTTGAGAGAGAGGGAGAGAGAGAGAGAGGGAGAGAGACATCAATGTGAGAAAGAAATATCAGTTTACCTTCCATATGCTCCCCAACCCAGAATCGAACTCGCAACCTAGGTATGTGTCCTGAGCAGGAATTGAACCCACAACCTTTTTGGGACATGGAACGATGCTCCAGTCAACCAAACCACCCAGCCAGGGCTAAGATTCCTTCTTTTTTGACCTAGAGTTGTAGATCCTGCCAGTCATCACTGGCCCCATGTCTCATCGTGTAATGAATTCTTCAGATTATGATATTCTTATGTAGTTATTGAGAGCAAAATCTGTTTTATTGTGTGAGGAGCCTTGGTGCACATTTTATACAGAAGGGATCAGCAGACAGCTTGGCTCCAAAGCACTTACAATGTGTCAGGAGCTGTGCCAGGCAGCAGGCATGAAATAAATCCTTTACTGTGTTTGTTTTTTTAGAAGCTAGGGAGAAGACAGGGAAACAAACCAACTATTATTATTTATCACAGCTATGATATATTACAACTATTATGGGGCACATATGCTGGGCTAGAGGATTGAGAAGGTGCAAATTGGATTAGGGATGTGTGTCAGCCAGTTTTAAAATGGTTTTAAATATAACAATCTTTTTTTTTTGCTTATTAT